CGGCGGGCCTGGGTGGCTTGTGTCCCGCGCAAGGGTGTCGCGGCAGAGCCGGGCGAGCGTGGGAGCCGGGCTCTGCAGAAACTGGGCTGCACCCCCGCCTTGTGTGCAACGCTGGCCACGTCTTGGTCCTCTCTGGGGCCTCAACTTTGCTGATCTAGAAAGTTCTTTCCGACTTTGAGAGTCTGACCTTCACTTCTGGATTCTAGAAATCTAGAATTCTCTGCTCTTACACACTCTGAGATTGCAAAATTCTGAGTCTATTTCAAGTACTTAAGATACTGCAATTCTAAATAGAATAGTCTAGAATGGTTCTAGAATAGTCTATGCCTTTATTTTGGTATTTCTTAAACTTTTTTTCATTATCACCCACCTAAGGAGGCGTTTTTAGACTTTTTTGAAATCTTAATTTGTTCCCCATGAAATTTTAATTCCACAGATATACTTGTAAATCTGCATATGTTCTGTATGTGTATTTATGCTTTATACATAAAAAGAGTAAGATTCTTTAACCCCCAAGAAACAATATTCGCCTCCTTAGGGGACAATACATGCTTTAATTTTAAGATCCCAGAACCTTCTGTCCCTATGATTCTAGAAGTGTAAGATTCCTTCTTTTTTTTTTTTCCCAGAGCTGGCCGGTCCAGGTATCTGAATCCTTGACCTTGGTGTTATAACACCGCTCTAACCAGCTGAGTTAACCCGCCAGCCCTATAGGATAGAAACATATACATATTTTTGCCAAAAGACAAGCCCTGATTTTTCAGAGCAGACTTATCCATACTAACCAAAAGGTGGAAGCTGCCCAAACATCCATCAATAGGAAACTGGATCAATCCAGTTTGATAATGGTGGTGTAGTCACACGATGGAATAGTCTACACTGAGGAAAAAGGATGGACCACTGCCACATGCACCAACATGGATAAGTCTCCCAGAAATCACGCAGAGGGAAAGAAGCCAGACACAAAAGAGAAATCCATTCAAAATAAATACAAAACCAGGCAAAAATAGATCAATGCTAGTAGAAGTCAGGACAGTGCTGGGGGCAGGGGCAGTGCTATCAGGGGGACCATGTGGGATATCTGGGAGGCTGGAAATGTTATGTTTTTGAGCTGGTGGGGGTTGCATGGGCATGTTCAGGTGGTAAAAATCCACTGAGCCGGACACTTACGGTATGTGTGTTCCTTTGTATTCAGGATATAATCTAATAACATTTTTAAAAAAGATTCTGGAATTGTTTTCATCAAAACTCCAGAATTGTATATTCTCAAGAATCTTTATGATTGTGACATTCTGGAATAAGGGTTAGCAAACTACAGCCTACAGGCCAAATTCGGCCCACGGCCTGTCTTTTTTAAATAAAGTTTTATCGGGGGCTGGCCCGGTTGTGCACTCGGTAGAGTGCGGAGCTTGGGAGCACGGCGGCGCTCCCACCGAGGGTTCGGATCCCATATAGAGACCGGTCCGCTCACTGGTTGAGCGCTGTGCGGGTGCGACACCAAGGGTTGCGATCCCGTTGCCGGTCCCGGTCCAGTACGGGCGCGACACTGAGGGTTGCGATCCGGTCCAGTACGGGCGCGACACTGAGGGTTGCGATCCGTTGGTGGTCACGAAAAAAGACAAAAAGGAAAAAAAAAAAGTTTTATCGGACCCCAGCCACACCCATTCATGTCTGTGTGGTCTATGGCTGTTTTCATGCCCCGAGGGCAGAGTGGAGTAGCTGCAAGAGAGATCGTGTGGCCTTTTACAGAAACTTTGCTAAACCCCGGTCTGGAATGGTATGTTCTAGTGTGTCTTTGGTTCTGTGATTCTAGACTTCAATGTTCTCGAGTTTGGGGGGTTTCTCATCCTAAGAGTCTGATGTGAAGAATTTAGAGTTGTATGTTTCTAGGAGCTTGAGACCAAGAGTCTTATGATTCTAACGCCAAGGTCAAGGGTTTGGATCCTGTACTGGCCAGCTGCCAAAAAGCAAGACAAAACAAATCAAGAGTCTTAAGATTCTAGAATCTTCCGTCTCTCCCACTTGCTTTCATACCTGCTTCCACCACGAGCTGTGTCCCATTACCCTCAGCCTCCTCCAACTCAGGAATCTCCGTAGCTGCCCAGCACACATAGTCCCCGCTGTCGTTCATGCTGACACGGTCCAGTCGCAGGGTGAGATCACCAGGTGCCAGCCAGGACAGCTGTCCCCGGGGCCCACAGACCCCCAGGCTGAGGCTGCTGTTGGTGATGTATGGCTGGCACATGACATCACCGTCCTTGGTCCACCCAACACGGAGACGTTCCCAGGCCTGGGTCTGGGCCACCTGACAGGCCAAGGTCACCTGACTGCCCTGTCTCACCCATAGTGATTTGGGCCCCTGCTGTATACTCAGGCCTGTGGCTCCTTGCATGGCTGGGGGACAGAAGAGGTGGGTGAGACCTTTCTCAGTGTGTGCACATGAGTGTGTGTGTGACTCACTCCCCTAGTGACCCTGCAGTAAGGGTTTGAAACCTCACTGTCGGTATGACCTTTGGAAGGTCACTTCTCATCACTAAGGCTTAATGACCCCATCTGTGAGATGGGTATAACTCAGTCAGCTCTTGTGGAATTTCAAGATGGATTCTATCTATGACGTGTCCAGCTCTCAGCCACATCAGTATCACCTAACATGTGCCATGCCCTATGCTGGGTGCCCTGAACAAAATCCCTGTCCTTGAGGAGCTGATGGTCTGGGGTAAGAGAGACATGGGAAGGCATGAAATGAGAATCCTGATGGAGGAGAGGAATGGGGAGTGACCACAGAGGGTAACAGTGAAGGGAGGGAGAATCGACTTATAGAGGGTGGCCAGGGAGGGTCTCTCTGAGGTGGTGGCATTTGAAGGGAGATCTGAATGGTAAGAGGGAACCAGTTGTGGGAAAGAAGGTCTGGAAGCGTTCCAGGCAGAGGGCACAGCACGTGCAAAGGTCCTGGGGCAGGACTGAGCCTGGTGTGTTGGAGGAACAGCGAGGAGGCCCGTGTGGCTGCAGCAGAGAGAGTGACAGGGACAGAGGGAGGTGGGATGGGAGAGGTCAGTAGGGGGTGGTTAACAGAAGGCCTTGTGGGCCACGGGGGTGGATGGGGAGGTGGGGAAAGGGGGCAGATTATCTTTTCATCTAAATGTGATGGGAAACCAAAGGAGCAGGGAGGAGACATGGTCCAGTTTCAGTTTTTTAATTTTTTTTTTAATAAAGATGACCGGTAAGGGGATTTCAACCCTTGGCTTGGTGTTGTCAACACCACGCTCAGCCAGTGAGCCAACCGGCCATCCCTATATGGGATCCGAACCCGTGGCCTTGGTGTTATCAGCACCGCACTCTCCCGAGTGAGCCACAGGCCGGCCCCGAGTTTCAGTTTTAATGAAAAGGTCACCCTGACTGACATGGCGAGAACACACTGTGGGGTACAGGGGTCAGGGGCAGAAGAGGGGACACCTGGGAGTTGGTGACCACACTGGTCCGGGCCTGTGATGCTGGGGTGGGAGAGACATGGATAGAGTTTGAAGGTCGTCCCCAGAGGAAGCGCGAGTAGGCTGGAGTTGGGGAAGACGGAAGGCGGAATGGTGGAGCATGCCCAGGATTTGGCCTGAGGGACTATGTGCATGGTGGCCTGTGGTGGGGGACCCTGAGGGAGAAGTGGGCTGGAGCAGAAAGAATGAGTTTGCTTTTGGCTGTGATAAGTCAGGTGCCTGTTAGACCCCCCAGAAGGTGAGGTCCGGTCAAGTTCTTGGTGTTTGAGATGCAATGGAGCCCAGCCAGAGAGATGAGATCCAGGGAGGTGGGATCGGGCCTGGCATGTTGGGGAAAGGAGGGGAGGGAGGGAGGGAAGGAAGACCAGCAGGACAGAGCTGCGGAAGACAGGGCGTGTAGAGAGGTGGCTAGAGGTCAGAGAGGAACGGGGCCAAGTCATGCAAGGGTGGCATGTAGGTCATGGTTTGAATTTTCCCCTCTGAAGACCCTTCCTGAATCTTTCAACCCACATCAGGTCCTGAGTATCAGAGGGAGAAGGGACCTTGTGAAGTTTGGGACTCCGAGCAGGAGGGGCCGGCAGTGGGGTGTAACGGGCAACAGGAGAGGGGTGCAGAGGGCAGGGAGGGCCAAGTACTCACCCCACAACTGCACCAGGAGGACCAGCACCATGTCCAGGGACCCCACTCCTGGCCCATCAGCCCTGTCCCAGCTGTCCCCCTCTCCCCCTCCCATGCGACAGACTTCCTGCCGCAGTCTCCACCCCACGCCGGAGAGGAAGAAGTGTCAGACATCCGGTGTTCGAAGCTTCTGCGGGCTCCACTTCCTGCCACCTCCTGCCTCGGTTTCCCCAAAGTGTTTTCTATCTAAAAGGCAGTGTGCTTATGTGAAACTGTGTGTGTTGGGGGGGATGTGTCCCAGTGAGCAGACACCTTTCTGGAAAGCTCTACATAAACGCATCTGGACTGGGGCACACATTGGAAGAGCAGGTGACACGGTGGGGGAGGGGGCAGATGGCAGAGGCCTGAGTGGTGGACTGAATGGCGGGATTCCTGCCTCAATTATTTTGCCCCCCAATGTCTTCCTTGGAGGATTGGAGGAATGGATTTCTACCGATGACTTTGACTTTGGGTCCTACCGCAGGTGTGGGGGTTCCTCCTGCTGCTATGTGCTGGGGAGATGTTTGGGGACCCAGTTGAGGGATTTCATAGGCTCTATAGTTCCTCCCAGCCCTGCCCCCCTCCCCTGTCAGCAGGGCCTCTTGAGAGGAGGTGGCAGACCCACAGACCACAATGTCTCATATGCAACCGCTGAATGACCTCCTTTCTCACTCGGAACCAGAAAGCACGCATCCTTCACAGTCGTGTTCCTGTCAGCCACAAGGAGGCCCCTGCGGTCGAGCTCTGCACCTCCCTAGCAGACACTCAGCCCCCTTCGTTGGAAGCCCCCTCTCCCCCACTCTCGGCAGACGACCCTGGATAGATTCAGCTCCAGACCCTTCCAATCATATAAGGAAGACAGAGCTAGACTCAGTCATTCCTAGCCCTGTGAATTCTGGGCTGGCGGGGAGGGTTCTAGAGAGGAGATGTTAGAGCCTGGGGCTTTGTGGGATGTGTAGGAGTTCGGTTGTGGTGTGAGGACGGAAAGAGGGTATTGGAGGTTGAACACCCGCTTGGGGAAAGGCCTTGGCTTTTCGGTAAGTGCATAGCCTGTGAACGGTCAAGGGCCAGATCTCGCGGGGTGAGGGCTTAAAATACCAGTTTGAGTAGAGAGGGAGAAGAAGTGGGGAGACTGAGTCACGGGAGTACTAGGGATGGTCTGGAGGTCCTATAGCAAGGCTGGGGGTCGAATCAGGCATTCTGTCTCCCAGCTTGGGGCTCTCTTTAGCTCAGACATCTACTACCAATGTCACCGGCTGGGCCCCAGGCTCTGGAGGTCCGGGCTCTGGGCGACCCCAGCGCGGGACTACATTTCCCAGCGTGCCTCTGCGGCCGCGCCTGCGCATTGCGGCCAGTGATGGAGCGCTGACCCGGGGCGCGGCGGCGGCGAGGGCTCGGCGGGCCATTGGCTCCCGGCAGCGGCAAAGGCTCTTTGGGGACTCAAAGAGCCAGCAAGTCCCGCGGGCCGGGCTGGGGTGACCTGGGCTGCAGCCATGGAGGACCAGAGGGTAGGACGGGGCGGGGCCCGCGGGGGGGGGGGGGACAAGGGAGGGGACCAGGTGTTGCCGCAGCGACCCCCGCCCCCGTCCCTGCAGCTGCTCGGCGCTCCAGGCCCCGCCCCCGCCGCAGCCCTGCCCGGATCTCCCCTCCCCATTTGGGACGCAGCCCCCCCTATTATGTTGGCCTGGGGCCAGGCGCCCCGCCAAGCCCCCCATTACCCCAGGACATGGGTCCCAGCCCTGACCCCATCCCCCACACCTGCCATCCCCGCCGCCGACCGGGGGTCCCGGCCCTCGCCCCGGCCCGCCCCCCGAGGACGCCCCACCAGCTCCGCAGTGCCGACCCCGCCGCCAACCCTGTACCCCCAGAAAAGGGGCCCATCGAAGCCTGGGTCGCAACCAGAGGCCCAAGCCCGAACCGCCCACGAATCTTCCCTCCCCCCTCGTTCCCTTTCTCAAGAGCTCCCTTCCCCCTCCCCACTTACCTGGGCTCTGTGGCTTTGTCCAGGTAATCCCTTTCTCCTTCCTAATCTCTTTTGCCCAGGTAGGCCCCATCCCCAGGGTATCCCCTTCCTTGGCTCATCCCTGTTCCTGGGCTCTCCCACTTCCCTGGGGGGTTTTCTTCCCACAGATAACCCTTTCCCCAGCTCATGCCCCTTACCCCAGCTCATGACCCACCTTCAGGATGTGGGCACTGGGTTGAAGGCTTTGTGCTCGGGCAGATGTGGTCCAGGGCCAGGATCTGTCCCTTCCTGAGAGGCTCTCTCTCTGAGCCTTAGTTTCCTCCCCTGTAAAATGGAGATGTGCCACGTATTCACGTGCTAGGTGAGGTCCATAGGGCTGGGAGCTCACCTCTAGCAAGTGCACAAGGCCATGGCCATTAGCATGGGAGCCCCCCCATCTCCTTCCTGGATTCCTGGAGGGTGGAGCCAGACCACGCCGAGGGGCTTATCTGCCCTGTGTGTTCATGTTCATGTTCCTATTTCTGGTGGAGCAGGAGGCTCTGCGGAAGATCATCACCACACTGGCTGTGAAGAACGAAGAGATTCAGAGTTTTATCTACTCCCTGAAACAGATGCTGCTGAACGTGGAGGTGAGGGGGGCGGGGAAGGCTCGGGTAGGTGGAGGGAGGGAGGTGGCAGCCATAGGAACTGGCCTGTTGCTGCTCGTGCCCGTGGGAGGCTGGGCCTGGCAGGCCATGTCCAAGCCTCAGTTTCCCCATCTGAACACGGGCTTTGGCCAATCCTGACCCTTCTGACCCAGGCAAATTCAACCAAGGCACAGGAGGACCTTGAAGCGGAGTTCCAGAGCCTCATCTCCCTCCTGGAGGAACGGAAGGAGGGCATGCTCATGAAGATAAAGCAGGACCGTGCCAGCCGCACCTACGAGCTGCAGGTGTGGGGCTGGACCACTGCAACCCTCAGCCTCAACAGAGCCCAGCTGGCCTCAGCACCTTTCTTCAAACCTAGATGCTCCCAAGTGTCTGGTGTCTCCCCTGCCCCCCTCCCTAGCCCATCAGTCCCCCAGCTACCTGCTGTCCCTTAACCCCTCTCCATCACCACACCTTCAAGGCTCACTCAGTCTTCCCCTCCTGTCTTCACCTAGTGCCTCCCATTTCTCACCCAATCCCATGGCTTCCCAAGATCTGATGGTATCACTTCTGCTCAAACACCTGCCATGGCTCCCATGGGCTCTCAGACTCCAAGCTGGGGTCACTTGGGTGGCATCCAAACATGCTGGGAAACTTACTAACATTCCAAATTCCCCTCCCCAGGGAATATAGAGACCAGCAGTTCAGGTGTGGCCTGGACATGTGAATTTTTTTTTTTTTTTTAAAGATGACCGGTAAGGGGATCTTAACCCTCGACTTGGTGTTGTCAGCACCACGCTCAGCCAGTGAGCGAACCGGCCATCCCTATATGGGATCCGAACCCGTGGCCTTGGTGTTATCAGCACCGCACTCTACCGGGTGAGCCACAGGCCGGCCCCTGGACATGTGAATTTTTAAGGAAGGGATTCCCCAGGAAGTTCTGATATACTGCCGGGAGTCAGGCCCGACTTGTCCAGACTCTTGAGTCTCCAACCCCCTTCTGCCCCCTGGAGTTCTAGAAAGTCATGGTACCCTGGATCCTGAAGGTGGTGGGGAGCCCTGGGAAGGGTTGAGGCACTGTGGTGGGTTGTTTTCTCCTTTGGGGCCTGGCACCTTGCCCATTGGAGCCATGCTACCTGCAGAACCAGCTGGCTGCCTGCACGCGGGCCCTGGAGAGCTCCGAGGAGCTTCTGGAGACAGCCAACCAGACCCTGCAGGCCACGGACAGTGAGGACTTTCCTCAGGTGGGCGTCCCTGATGCTTTACCCATAAGGTTGCCAGATAAAATATAGTGTGCTCACTTAAATCTGCATTTCAGGTCAACAACGAGTAATTTTTTAGTATAAGTATGACCCATCCATGGAATATTTAGCATAAGTGTGCCCCGAAGATTGCACAAGATATACACTAAAAAAAAAAAAGTATTCGTTGTTGATCTGAAATTAAGATTTATCAATGAATAATTTCTTTAGTATGTCACACGCAGTGTTTAGTGTAAGTATATCCCAAATATCACAGGACATACTTACACTAAAAAAATAATTCATTATTTATCTAATGCCAGTTTAACTGGGCGTCCTGTTTTTTTATTTGCTAAAGCTGCCAACTGTATGTACTGGGCACTGGGCAGGAGGTTGGGGTGTGGTTGGGGACATGTTTTTGCCTTCCTATCCCTTCAGGGCACAGCCTAGAAGGAGGAAGGAGGGTTTCTTCCTCAGTGCTGGGGGACTTTGGCAAATGGCTACTATGCTGGGCCTCAGTCTTCCTGTCTGTATAGTGGCTCTCTGATTTGATCGAGACAAGTCTTTGAATTTTATTCTGTCTCTCTCTCTAGGCTGCAAAGCAAATCAAAGATGGGTAAGATGCTGGGATCTGACCCTCACCCCAGTGCCCTGCCCCTGGTGTGAAGGTGGGACACCCAGGTGAACAGCACTGGACCGGAACATGGGGGAGGGGGGTCCCACATCTCAGACGACCAGGCCTGGGGCTGCCCTGAGACACCTGCCAGCAGGCTACCTCTACCTCCTTCCCTGCAGTGTGACAATGGCCCCTGCCTTCCGGCTGTCATTGAAAGCCAAGGTCAGCGACAACATGAGTCACCTCATGGTGGACTTTGCACAGGAGCGGCAGGTGCTACAGGCGATCAAGTTCCTGCCTGGTGAGAGGGGAACTCACTGGACGGCCAGGATTTCAGGGAAATGGCCTGGGAGTCTGGGAAGCCCTGAGAGGGGGCCTGGAGTATGGATGAGTGTCTGAATCCTCGGAAGGCCCCGTCCCAGGGTGGAGCCATAGTGGAGCCCCACCCACCCGGTAGCAAAGACTTGGGGAAACCCTGCCCCCAGTGGTGAAGCCCTGAGAAGGCTACACCCCTTGGGGAAAACGGCATTGTGGGAAAGACCCCCTGGTAGTAGAGCCCCAGAGAGA